GGACAACTTTCAGACAACAACTACTTCATTTGGATTCACAGAGAACCCGTCGACGAAATCAAAAGTTTGTTGTTGATGTTAGAAGAGGCAAGAGGATGGTACTCCGATGACATTGGTTTTGATGATGAACACGACAAGGAGTGGATGGTCAAGAATGCAATTCAAGCAAACTTATTGAATCTGAAGAATTCACTTGCAATCAGAGATGCATGGATCAATGAAAATCCAGACCGCGCTTCACGTATCATCGATGTTGGGTTCAAAGACACAATTGCACACCCCGTTGAAACAGTCAAAAGAATATACACCCGTGTTGGTCTTGAATTCAACGACGAAACAGAAAAGAAGATTCTTGAAGCAGTCAAAAACGACCCACAAAAGCAATTCGGCAAAAAGAAAGAAAACCCATTCAAAATCAACGAGCAAGACATCAGACATACTTTCAAGTTCTACTACGACAGGTTCCCCTCTTACATGCCAAATTACTACGGCAATAACTAATTCTTCCTACTTTTTTGCTTTGATTCCGATTTTTAACCTTACGATACTGTTAGTGTTTTAAATAAAACACAATTTTTTATTTTTTTGTAAAAAAATGAGTCTTGTCAAAATAAAACAATTTTCAAAATATCTAATATCAAAAATAAAAATGTTATTGAATTAACTAACTTGACATAATTTTAAAAATTATGCAATTATAACACACCAAACACACTATAACCCGATGTTGACAACATGTGGTGTTTTTACAACACATACATCCAATGTCACTCCTCAAACACCCATTCTTTTGTTCGTTTAATATTCTGCAACAATGACAATCTTTTGGAGATTTATACCGTGGAAATACTGAATCCGTTTTTAAAAAACCTCGTTTTCTCCCTCGTTTACGCTTTGATTTGATCACGTCTACTTCCCCAACACCAGAATCCTCACATTCCATTTCCCGTTGTTTACCATCTGTGTTAACTCGTGTGTTCACTTCAATGTAAGGGTTAATTGAATCGATATAAACAATGCGTTCCATACAATAAAAAGGCGATCTTGGAATTTTAAGTACATTTTTTTCTTCAAAAAATTTCACAAAATTTTCTTCTCCAATTATTCCCGTTTCAACCAAACAGCTGAAATAAGATCCTTTAGTTGTGTGAACTCGACGAATTGAATTATCTGCAAAAAGACTTTTTGCTAATTCCAACAAAAAATTCTCCCGATCATTTTTTCCTGATATTTTAAATGAATTATAGGCACAAATGTCAACTATATAAAAAATAATGCCAACGGCCACCTTCTTGTGGCTCTTTTGCAAGTATACATTCGAACCATTTTGTCAAGCATATCTACACCACCCATTCCATTATTATAATCATGTTGAATTCCAAACAAACGTTTATTTTTGTCAAAATAAAAAAGCTCTTTTTTGAAGATAACATAGTTACACTTTTATTTTTCTTGTCGTAATAATTGAGAATAAAAAGTTGAAAAAGAGGGGCCTTCCCAGTTTTTTCTTCTTTTTCAAGTTGAAGTGCTACAAAAATTTTTTCAGGCCGTTTTTCATCACAAATCTTTGGTACAAAAGATCTCCCTTTCCTGCATGTTCCGACAATATCAATACCTTTATTTTTCAATTTAAGTGCCAAATCAACAGTGGTAAACAAATTATCAACATATAATGTAACGCCTTTCATTGAACTTTCTTTGCTTTCTTGGTTTTTTCCACACCCTCTACTATTCTTAATGCAAGATTTTCGATATAATTTTTTTCGTTGTGATCCACTCTTCCCAAATACAATTCTGAATTACACACAATTCCAGTGTCATTGTCGACCATTGTCCATATTTTGATGCCATATTTTCCTGGTTTAGAGGGAATGAATTGTTTAAAATTGCACCTTTTAAAAAATTTTATAAGCTGCTCATCTATACATATAGAATTTCCACTTATAATGTTTTTACCAAATGTTTTTATATTTGATGAAAATAAATTCATTAAATTTTTTATTTTAAAATAATGTTTTTCGTCACAAATATCGTTTTCAGTATTTATTTCGACTGTTTCATCTTCAACAAAACATTCAACTTGTTCATCATCAAATACAAGATTTTCAATTTTGAACACGTTTTTATGTGTTTTTTGTTTATTTTTTTGTATTTTTTAATTCATTTATTTCATAAAATTTTGATATGTGGGAATAACAACCATAATCTTTTTTTCATCCTTCTATTTCACTTTTTTTGTCATGAATGTTGTATCATCTGGTTTATCATTGTCATCTTCTTCCATTTTATGTTTTTTCCTTTTTCGCTTCAACTTCATTTTTACACGTTCTTGTGCTCCAGTGTCGAATCTTAATGATGCCAATATTTGTAAAAACCTTTGTTCACACATTATTGCTTTGTAAATAGATCTTCCATATGTGTTTCCAAATAAAAAGCGGATACTTTTTTTATTATCATTCACAACACCCATATATAACAATATTCCCAAAAATTCATCCAATTCAATGATGTCTACATCAATCCATTTATCATTGAATAAGACTTTTCCAACCCCATTACTACATTCAATGATTAATCTTTTCATTTCTGAACTAAAAAACAAAGAAAAAATGTCACTGGGTGATTGTTGCAATGAAACTACTGGTGTGTAAATGGGTGTTGTCGTTTTTTAGCTTTTACATTAAAAGTAGTCCAATAATATTATTAGGTTCTTCGACTTTATTAACCCCTTTCGTTGATTAATGTTTCATATGAAATAATTAGTTATAATTATTATTTTTTGATTATAAATTGGTTGTGTATTTTTTCCATTTTATGGGATTTTTACTTAAAATTGTTTTTTAGATTAAAAAATTATTAATACTATTCTTATTATATCTATAAAATATTATGTTTATTTCTAAGGTTTTTTATATAATTTAAAAATATTTTTTTGTTTATTTTTTGAACTTAAAATTTATCAAAAAAAACTTTCCTTGTGATATTTTGAAATGTAAACAGCATTCGCTTCGCCATATTTATTTACAAAATGTCTATCACCAAAGAACATCAAAAAAATCAGAAAACAAATGAATAACTTTTGAAAGTTACAAACTATTTGTACATACAATAATTTATCATTTTTCCTTTTTTTCTTCAATTTTTGGAAATGTTTTAATTAAAACACTAACGGTATTGGCGTTTTCATTTACAAAACAATTTTTTTCGAAAAAAATGTTATACAAAAAAAAAAGAATCATAAGATTAATTAATTATAAATTACAATATCATTTTAATATTGATAATAGTTTAATTTATTATATATTAAAATCTCATAATAATTTATATTAGTATTAATTTAAAAGAAGAAGAATAAAAAAATCTACAAAAAAGTAAATGACACTCCATGAAAACGAATTATACAAAGTCGTGGTGAAACCACACGATATATCCATCATCACTAAAAAGACAAAAGAGTCATCGCAGATAACAATTGAAGATACGATTACAACGTCTCTGATCATAGGAGAGTTTCCAGTGTACTTGGTGGTGGGCTGCGAATCGGGAGAAGTTCTATCAATCGACTTATCGAGCAATGAACAAATGATTATCACTAACAATCAAATGACTTCAGTCAAATGTGTTAAAGAATTTCCATCGACACATCCCTATTTAGTGTTAATAATCGATGTGAATAGTTCAGTTATTGTATACGATTTATTATACTCAAAAGTCGTCATTTTCTCACCACCTCTCCCTTCGCCACTCACTTCGGTTGAGTATTTTTTCCCGTTATGTATTCTTTTAATGAGCTACACAGACGGAAGAAATTTTGCGTGGTCATTAGACACTGGTTCACTGTTGTCAACATTACAATATTCTTCTCCTCAACAAAGAGTTAAGTCCACTTTAGTTTTTAATCAATAAATTAAGTTGTTTTGTTCTATTTTTAATACTACATTTTATTATAAATGGTTTTAAATATCTAATAGTTCTATTCTTATAGAATTTTAATCATTGGTATCTCTCAATTTTGTTCAAATAAGGAACTCGACGTTTCAAAATTTTTTTAAACAAATTAAATATTTTTTTTGACTCGATAGATCGTGAAAAAACAAACATTTTGAAAATTAACCGTTAAATGCCTTTCCCAAATTTGTATTAACACCATCAAACAAAATATCCACAATGTTCTCTTTACCTTTTACTTGTGTTGAGTATTACTCTTTATTTGTCATTGTTAACAAGTAATAATAACACCCATTTTGTATCATTTTGAATGATTAATATTGATTACCATTTCATCTCACAATTTTATTTCATTGATTTAGTTCAATACAATAACCTAGTAGTATTGTAACAAACACAATGTCCTTAATGTTCAGTTCAACTATGTTCTAACTGAGTCGCCAATAAATCTTTATTTTTTTCAATAAACTTTTTCAACTTATTGAGTCATACAATGGATGCTTTGCATGACTCAATTTATAAACTCCCATTTATTGTTTTATATATCTTGTGGATTTGTTCTTCTAAAAACTAATTAGAAATTATAATTAATTGTATTATTGATTAATAGTTGTTTTTTTGTTTTGAAATTATGTTTTAATTTTAATATTTCAAATTGTTACAATTTAACTATAAAATGGTTTATTTTACTATAACAAAATTATTTTATAATACAAAAATAGATCAAAACGGATTACAGACAGGTACTATATTTTAAAAAAAAAAATTAATTATTATATTATAATATATTATAATATGTGTATTATTATATCATTGTTTAAAATAAAAGTAAAACCTTTTTGAATATAAAAACAACACAATCAATCCAAATTTTGCTAATATACTGAAGAACCACTTTTGCGGATAAGAATTGTTGTAGAAAGGTTGTTGATCATTGGGAAATCGTCGACAATAATAGGGGTTGGGAGGGTTACATCAATAAGAATTAGTTGGGTCAGCAATGACAAAGGTTCAATCATACTTTTCTCAACCACGACTTGTGGTGAGCAGTTTATGGAGAGGGAATTCAATGATGTTGGAAGTGTAAGCACTTTAGGCGAACATGTCCGAATTTCCAGTGAAGTTAGTAACGTGAGGTTATTAAAGTCGAAGAGCGTGAGTGGGTTAAGTATAAATTTGAGTGACATTTCTTTAAGTGAGACAGGTAGTTTTGTTGTCGTAAAATTAACACCAAGTACTTCGAGTTTTTGGAGGTTGGTTGAGTACGAAAGATCAAGTTCTGAACATCGAACACATGATATGGATACATTAGTCAGTTTAGTTAAGTGATTCAAACTCTTTAACTCGGGAACCAACGAAGATAAATATGTCAAGTGAAGGTCCTCCAGTGAGTTGGGGAAGTTCGTTTCTTTTGCGTACACATCAAACGTCTTGTAGTCAATATACTTTTCAAAAATAATATAATAAGAAAATTATGTCAATTAAATTTTAAGCCTTAAATATTTGTTCGTTCCAACAATCGCAATCTCATTTGAATTTATTTTAAATACATAAAATATTTTATTTTTTTATAAAATCTTTTTGATATATTTTATAATAAACTAATACAATATCAAACAAACACAAATCTCTGATAACTCTGTACACGCTGCATAATTCAAACTTTGCATGATACAATTAGTTCCTGTAAATTTCTTGAGTTTTTGTGGAAAAACAATGGTGTTGTCAACAATGGACTCACTCATCTCAATCTCCTTAAGATTCGGAAAAGCCCCAAAAGTCGGGCAAACAGCCATTTCACTGACTTTAATCTTACTAACTTGATTATACATCATTTCCCCATTCATCACCGAAAAATGTTTTATATAACATTTTTTCAACTCCAAAGTGCTTACAGAAGACGACAAAATCATTGTTTCAAGTTTTGAGCAATCTCCCAACAAAACGTTTGTCAGTTTTAAAATCTGGGAAGTGTCAACTTGCGAAACCCCGACTTGGAAAAGGTCAAGAGACACCAAAGAAGACGGAATAATCAAAGTGCCCAAACCGGTCATGTTCTCAATTTTGAGAAACCTCAACTTTTCACTTTTCGAAAAATCCAACATCTCATAATTCCCTGAGATGTTTTTGAGAGTGACCGAGATTGAGTTTAACGGAATGGACGAAGAGATATTAGAGGAAAATCCATCAAAAAGTATTTCTGAAAGTGTCGTGCATTTTCCAAGAAGTACACCGTTGCCCTTTGATGTGCATTGGTGGACCTCAAGAGAGCACAAGTGCTCTGAAATAAGTAAGTCATCGAAGTTATCTTCTTTGAGAATGAGTTTTGTCAGTCCATCGTTGGTTAAGTCTCCAATTAAGAAAAGGGATTTACGAATTTCGAGTTCTTTCAGATTTGGCCCAAGAACAAATCGGGGTATTTCGAGACTCTCCACTGCAAGTTTGGTGACTGAGGGACACCGAGACATGTCCAACTCAAACCTCTCTCGTCGGGTCTTCTCTCCGTATCCAACTTCGATTAAGACGTCACTCAACCCATTGCACAAAGAAATGTCTTTGGGTGGTCGTGTAAATTCCACCTTGTCATATAATTCGAGTGCTTCAACCCTCTCTTCAAGCCGCCGAGTTACTGTCATTTGTGGATAGTCTGGGAGGTACTTGGACAAGAAGAAGTTCATCATCTCTTGGTTAAACCACGGGAATTTGGTTGGTGTAAAGACCAAGAAAAACTTGAGGGGGTCACCATACACCTTTGCCATGATATACTCCCACGTATCTTTCGCCGACACGTCGCGTAGATCCACGTTGTGAAAGAAGACTGTTGTGTTTATGTTTGAGTCTAAAACACTGTCAATCTGATCATAGCCCAACGTTTGGAATGTGTTCATATGGATTGTCACAACAAAATCGATGTTTGGCATGTTATTAAGTGCATCCATAAAATTGGAAAGTGTTGTTCGTTTTAATTCAAGAAAATCTATCTTAACATCTTTCAAATCAGTGAATGTTGTCAGTGAAGTAATTGATGTGAACATATCAGTTGTGATAGATGAAAGGGAAAGTTTTTTCAGCTTTGGTAATGCTTGGATTGTTTGTGGCAAAAATTCAGAAAACTTTTGGGTGTATCTTACACACAACGACGTCAAGTGTGGAAATGAAGGAAACGGAATGTACAAATCAGAATCCTTTGCTGATAACTCTTCAACACATTCTGCGTGAAATTCGAGTGTAGATTTAAGCACATTACTGTCGCAAAGAATTTCGAGTCTAACATAGGTTGGTAGTTGTGTTTTAACGGGGAGGTTAGAAAGTCTACAATTGATTTGAGTCAGCAACGGGAATTTTTCAGTTAGAAAAAGAACGTTTGCGTGTGGAGTGGTGTGTTTTGTTATTGACAAAGCGGCGTCTTGACAAAAATGGTTTATCATTGAAAATTTGATTACTTCCGTAGTACTAAGGTATGTAAGGATTGCGTTATGTTCTCGTTTAGTTAAAACACGATCGATTCCTATTTGTGGTTTGTTCATTTATTCTATTATTTCGAGTTTCTTTTTTCACATTTTCTTTCTCAAAGTTTTAGTAAAAGAAATGGTTCTTTTAAACCAAAATTTCATTTGCCAATACAAAAGCAACATGCAGTTTTGGGAAACAAAAAGCAATTATTTAAAGTGAGACTGGAGGGGATGGGCGGCGAAGTCATTTACAATTCTGTCGACAAAGTTTCTGAGGAGCGACGTGCGTTTGAAGATTTTCAGGAACTCCTGGACGTCCGAGTCCGAATTTTTAATAAAGCTGTCTTCGTTAAATTTGCCAACTACTTTATCGTTTTCGTACGATAACTCGACCTCTTTGTTGACTTGCTCAATGATTGCCCAAATGAATTGTGTGAATTTAATTTTATAAAGCTCCCTCTTCTCTTTCTGCGTTTTTGGCATCTTATCGATTTCTTCAATCGCGTCTGTGAGTTGGTCGAACAGTTTCTTTGGAAAGAGGTCGATGTCCTTTTGCGTTGTGGTAACGTCAGTCGATTTGATTGTTTTGCTGTTCACGTCGAAGACTATGACGTCGTTATTTATTTCAAAGAAGTCGGCGCGACACATCCCGATGATGTAAGGCATCGGACTTTGTGTGATCGACTTCATTGAACTTGGCAAATGCGTTATGAGGAGGTGGACCCATTCAAACGGCTCGATCACTTCCAGTAACAATAAAACGGCAACTGAAATTTCGGTGTTGGTATTCCCGACAACGACAATTCGCCGCTCGTTGAGGATCGACACTAACAAACACCGCAAAGTGTTTTTGTCAATAGAAGCCAAGTAGCCAAACGCGTCTGTATATATCCCGCTCCGAGGTGGGATTGGGCCAAACAGCACATTAGACGCAGGGTGGCTGATGTAAGTAGTTGATGGGGAGACTTTGTAGTGCAGGAAATAGTCGACGGTCCGTTCAAACTGTTTCTGGTCTTGTTTATACGTCTCGGCCAATTTTGCCATGAAGTATCGAAAGAAAGACACCCAAAGTCTTTAAGTCAGACATTTGTGGTGAAACAAGAGTGAAAAATGGTGTGACAAACTTGGTTGTAAACACAATCAGAGAAAGTTGGTTGTCGATGCCAATGAGATGGCCGTATTGTCTGTTGTTCTTGTCGTCAGTGAATATTGCGACTTGGAATTCGAGGACCTTTTCTTCGTTGCAATACTCCCCGAAGTGTTTTGGGTACACAAAATCAGGAGGAAATACATTGCGTACGACATCGACTGTACACGAAGAGAATACAACAACGCCGTCCATTACAGGTGTTGGCTTCATCACTTCACGATTTGATTTTGTATGATGAGAATTTTTAATAATTATTTTGAGGTAATAATACAATCAAATTATAATGTTTCAAACACATGGGAATATACGGGATGTTACTACGAGAGAAAAAGCTAATGAAATAGAATACATGAACTAGACGAATAGTAAGTTCATAAAGGGTGGAGGGTAACTCGAAAATGGGAGATGCAAGTACCAAGATTATATACCAATGCCGTGTTTGCTGGATACAGAAGAGGACAAAGAAACATTTACCCGAACGTCGCCATCCTCCACATCGACGGTGTCAACATGAAAGAAGACACCGAGTTTTACATTGGAAAGCGTTGCGCTTACATATACAAAGTCGCCGTGAAGAAAGGCAGCAAGAAGCCAGCTGTCAGAGCTATTTATGGAACCGTTGTTGCTGCCCATGGATGCGCTGGTGCCGTCAGAGCTCGTTTTGCACACAACCTCCCACCAAAAGCCATTGGTGAAAACGTTAAAGTGTTCCTTTACCCATCAAAAATCTAAGACAGACTACTCCGTGTGATTTTCATTTCGACGTGTTCGTCAAACCCTAAATTTTTTGGTTGATTTCCAATTGTTCTTTTTGTTAGCATTTTTAAAATTGTTGTATCTTATTTTTTATCATTTTCAGACTTTTTTATTATCATTTCAACACCCCAAATAAGAAGAAAAAAGGCAAAAACTTTTTTTGACATTTGAAGGTGATGAACGAAAAATCAATGTTCGACTCGGAAGTCGTCAGAGACGCAAACGAAATGGCTCGACTGACGGATGTCATGTATTTCGGAAACATCAAAAAAGAGGCACATATACTCGCTGCAGATGAGGCAATGTTGTTGCAAAGACAAAAGGTATTATTCCTCTCAAACGAACTGTTGGCACAAGCCAAAATCAGTGAAGAGAAAGAAGCCGCACTGAGGATTGACTTAAACACTGACAAGAAAACTGAAATCATTAAACAAACACCTCTGCTCTTTCAACTGTCGGCTCACCTCGACCAACTTATTAAACAAAGAAAAGACCTTCTCAAGAAGCATGAAGCACTCTCCGAAAAACTCGATGGTCAAATTTATGAAGTGAAAAAACAGGCGCAGACACAGATGAACTTCAAGTTTGTTGTACTATAAGTTATTGAGGTTTTAAGAGTATCAACTAACTGTATAGAAGAGAGAACGACTTAACAGGAAAGATTGTCAGCATGAAAGGCGACTTGGATGTCGGTGTTTTAATCTGCAACAAAGAGATCATTCCGTTCGACATGCGCCGTATGACTAAAGAAGAGCGGCAGAGATGTTTATGTGAAATTGTTTTGAAAATGAAGGAGGATTGATTATTATTAATTAATTAACACTTTAAACAAATACTACCTTATAATCCTGATTCATTAATCTTAAACATTAATTGAAGTGTGTGTAGAAATTATTTGGTTGAATTAAGTTGAGATAATTAAATAAAGTAGGAAGAATTAGTTATTGCCGTAGTAATTTGGCATGTAAGAGGGGAACCTGTCGTAGTAGAACTTGAAAGTATGTCTGATGTCTTGCTCGTTGATTTTGAATGGGTTTTCTTTCTTTTTGCCGAATTGCTTTTGTGGGTCGTTTTTGACTGCTTCAAGAATCTTCTTTTCTGTTTCGTCGTTGAATTCAAGACCAACACGGGTGTATATTCTTTTGACTGTTTCAACGGGGTGTGCAATTGTGTCTTTGAACCCAACATCGATGATACGTGAAGCGCGGTCTGGATTTTCATTGATCCATGCATCTCTGATTGCAAGTGAATTCTTCAGATTCAATAAGTTTGCTTGAATTGCATTCTTGACCATCCACTCCTTGTCGTGTTCATCATCAAAACCAATGTCATCGGAGTACCATCCTCTTGCCTCTTCTAACATCAACAACAAACTTTTGATTTCGTCGACGGGTTCTCTGTGAATCCAAATGAAGTAGTTGTTGTCTGAAAGTTGTCCAAAAGTCTCCAGCATCCCAGAAAGTGCAACAAAATGTGAGACGCCTTTCATCACAAAGTGTTTTGTTGCAGGAACAGAAAACTCAAGTTGATGCATTTTCATGTGATCTTTCAGTTGGTCATACGCAAATTCATAATTCCGTTCAAACATCCCTTTTCGATACATTTCATATCGTGGAACTGCGTTTGGGAATAAATATGAATGACCAAGTGTTTCCAAGAAAAAGAGTTCTTCTTCTGCTTGTTCTGCACTTTTGAGAACATGAACTTCGTTCAAAGTAGAGGTGTGACTGTGGACAGTAGAGACAAGTTGATTGCCAAAGTTCTTTCTTGACTGACTTGTCATTGTGAAAGGACCAGGCGCCAGATGCTCATACATTGCCATTGTTTCAGCCAACGCATTTGATGACAAAATTGTATGAAGGAATGTTGACCCACTTCTTGGCAATGCCAACACAAAGAGAGATGGCAACAAGTCGGTTGATTCCAACTTCTCTTTGTAAAGTCGTCTCTCCATCAAAAATCTAAGGTATGAGGCGTACTTGACAATAACATTTCTTGTCATCATCTCAAACAACTTACTTTTTTGATCGAAGCAACCAGCCATCATCTCATGCATTGCATCTTTGAATTGTTTTGGAATGTCGTTGAATGTCTGTGGAATCTCTTTTTGATACAACTCTGCATGTGTTGGGTCAAGCTGCATTAATAGACCAATCGACTGCTTGCCCAACTCAGCAAAAAGTGGTTCCCAGTGTTCGTCCGGGATCAGTGGTAGACCGTATTTATTGGTCGTATCAACACTATATGTGAATGGGTTGGTATGCAACATTTCTTTCAAAAAAGTTCATTTCTTCAATTTATAATGAGTTCATTTCAAGGTAATTGTCAGTTCGTCATATTTTCATATGTTTTGGTTACAAATAGAGAAAAAACTATCAAAAGTTATTATTTGTAACTTTATGATTTTGGATAAATATAATTTTTTTACCAAAAATAGAACATACTTTTTGATTTTATTAGAATTGCATTTTCAGATTGAATAAAATATGACAGAATTTACAAATTTTAGCTCTTATACAAAATATTTTAAATGTTTTGAATTTTCAATAAATAAAATGGGGACCTACATTGACCACCACTACCACCTCTTAAAATAGATTTATTTTTTCTATTTCGAATCATATTCAAATTAAAATTATAGTAAATAGGAAAATGGGATAATATTAGGTCTGGTTCCCGAATTCAAAAAATGCCGAAAATTCACCTTGATTTAGTGGAAACCAAGTGAGACGGAGCATTGAAAAGAAGGCTCTAAAGACACACTCAAACAGTCTGTTTGTGCACCGTTTCACCCACTTTCCAAGTCCTCCCTTGGCGCGGATCCCCCCTGACCCCCCCGCAAGCGGGGGGGAACCACATCCGCGTCCACACAGTACGGACAAGGAAAGTGGGTGACATGGGGACGCACAAACAGTGGCTGAAAAATGGACTCCCTTTAAAAAACACTCGCGGCAAATATTATTTTTTGGTAAAGGTGGTGGTGGTGGTCAATGTAGGTCCCAATAAAATGTGCAATTTTTGAATAAATTGAGAAATAAGATTTTGTTTGATATTTTTCATTGGAATTGAATAATTATCATTTATTAATTATTACAGTTGGTCCATTAAACCTTAGCCCAGCAAATTAACCTTAGCCCAAATAAAAACTACTTTATTTCTATTGTTATATTAAAATAATAAACTATACTGATATAAAAGTCAATTTTCTAAAATATTTATTTTTTTAGTAAAAACCCGTGTTTTTAAAGAAAAATATAGGAATTTCTTTGGGCTAAAGTATATTTCCTGGGCTAAGGTTCATTTTCCCTACTGTATATATGGAAAATAATAAAAAAAACAAATAAGTCATTCATTGTTCAATTATCATAAAAACATTAAAAAAATGGTTTTGTATTTTTTCTTTTTTTAAATAATAATATATATTATTATTCATATAATACATTTTATAATAATTTTTATTGTATCAATTTTTATTAAACAATTCTAGAAATTATAATCTCTATATCTTAAATTTCCTTTTATAAAAATAGTTTTTTAAATTAATATGAATTGTTTCATTTTAATCTTTTAAAAAGAAAACTAAATATTAGTTTAGTTTATATAATATTTTAATATATAAATAGTAAAAAATTTAAAAAATATTTTTATTAAAATACAAAAAAACAAAACATTTGATTTGTGTAATTAAACCTGAAAATAAAAACTTGAAAATAAAACCTAAAAACTCATTAATGATTTTGATTTATTGAAACTTCACAAAATAAAATTATGGTTTTTTAAACTAAACTAAAAACTGAATGTCATTACAATGATAATAGTAAAAAATATTAAATAATTTATTATTTTTTGTTTCAAGGAACAATCCTGAAATTAAAAAGTTAACCAAAAGCTGTTTGTTAAAACACAACATATTATTTAAATTAATATAACTATATTTAATTATTATTTAAACTATATTATTAATTAAGAACTTCTGTTGTATTGCAAAAAATGATAAAACGTGAAAAACAGAAATAAAAAAAAAAGACGCAAAATAAAAGAATATAATGGGGAAAGTGTAAAAGAATCTTACTATAAACAACCATTTCCTTTAATTACCAAACTAACTAAAAAACTATGAAACAATTCAACGTGTATACATCAAAAACAAAACACCTACTTAGCGAATGGTTATCTTCTATAAAAAAATGTTGGGGTGTATGTTCTAAAGACCTAAAAAAGAAGAAAATATGTCGCACAAGAAAGTTGAAGTGAAAGTGCAAATCCACAAAGTGTTTTCCTCCGCTCCGGAGGTCACATTAGAACAAGTTGGGTATTTGACATGTTCAGTGACTCGTGGTTCAGTTAACGAGACCACAAATCCGTTTCAAGTGAATAAAGCCATCGAACAGTCGTTTCACTTTGTGAGCACTTTCATATTAAAAAGTCGAAAGGAACAGACCTACAAAGATAAAGAACTTGTCTTCCAAATTAAGTTGCCTCTCAAGAAGAAAGAGATCATGAAGACTACAATCAATTTGTCGAAAATTATTAACATCCCACCTATCCAACAGAACTATTCCTTCCAATATAAGTCGATTCCAATGCAACTCTTTTACACCATTTCCTTCAAAGAGAAGGTCGAAGTCATCAAATTCTCTCCAGATGAAAAGATCTACGACACCATCTCACTCCCAAAGAAGCCAAGTTCGACTTTACCAGAAACGGCATCCACTTCTTCTTGTGCTAAGACGTCAAGATCAGCTTCTAAAGTAACCACCGCGTCGTCACAGATATCGTCTGACATAGCGAGATCTGCTCAAAATGAGAGAGGGGCAAATGGGTCACGAGCAGATTCATACGCATCTATGGAGCAACGGAGAATCGTCAGAACTGCGCACCAACGTGTGAGATCTGCCATTGGGAAAGAAGCAGTTAATAATGTTGAGATGTTTGTATCGCCACAACAAGCAACTGTAGACCCCAAAATCGACAAATTTATTAATGACATCAGTCAAGTCTCCAGTTTAATGCAATTTGATTTGGACGCGCAAAGCACTCCACTAACGAATCCTATGATGACAGAAGTCATGTTTTATGTGTTACTCAAGTTTAAAGCGTTTGAAGGGAATGAAGAGGTGTTAATGCGAACAACAACAGCAATGAATGAAGTGTCGAAGAGTGAGATGCTTTATATCAAACAGGCCACTTACCTCTTTTCTTCATTGACAAGACTTGCCGTGTTGGTCTTAAAGACGGGAGAGAAGATGAAGAACTCGACCATGGCTAAATACATCAAAGTCTTGATTGAACCCGTGTCAACTACATATCAACGAATTTTGACAATCACACGCATCGGAGTCAAGAGTGTGATCGAGAATGTGTTTGAGAGGAAATTGGTGAAGTGCGACGAGTTAGTTTCGTTTATTGAAGAGTCGCGAAAGACATTTGAGAGTATGCGGGTGTTAAACGGTCTGAGCGAAGTCTTTGCAAAGGACTTGGTGAGTCTAATTAACGCGTATTTTGTTGACGAAGTTGTCAACCCACAAAAGGGAAATTGCACCTTTGAAATTGGGATGAACGCGACGATGGTCTTTTCTTATTTAAATGATTACTTCAGGAAGAAGCACATCTTCAATATTAAAGAAAAGAGTCCATTTGAACCAATTTCGGAGATCTCACGTGTGTTGCTGTTGGGTGATAAGTCTGTTTTGGCAGACGCCGAAGCGCGGAAAAATATATGTCCGAATATGTCGCTAGCGAAGATCATTGCGATACTTGAGAATTTGTCAGTCGAAGTCCCGGGGATACAAACACAGACGCGACAATCAATACAGAAAATCACTGAAGCCGAATACGACGACGACGTGAAAAATAATAAGATGGACATCACTTTCGAAGTGTTACAGAAAATAGCACTTCAGACCGACGAATCGACTTTTGTCAAATACAAATTAGAAGGAACGCCAATAGCGGGGAGAAATTACTATTCCTGAAGTGATCAACCATCTTCCTTCTAGCACGTCTCAAGCAATTTTGTTATTGTAGTTTTAAATTAGTTTAAATAGTTTAATAAATAGTATTTTTTATTATTCTTGGGATGTAGAATTAATAACAGAAGTATTCACAACGCTTCAATTATAACATATTTTATTAGTTGATTTACACTCATTGATTAACAACACGTCGCGCGTTCATCGTCGTCATCTTCATCATCATAAAATGGTTGAATGTGAGTTTCTTGAGAAGTTAAAGTATCACCAGGGTCATGCTCTAAAGCTTTTTTGGCTAAACAGTTGAAAGCAGTGTCAACACCAACACCAGTGGATGCACTCGTCTCTATATACACCGCATTCACATCATTTGCTACAATCCACTCGGCTACCATCGCACTGGTTATCACCGCAGGTTTGTCTGTTTTGTTGCCAATGATGACAAAGGGGTATTTCCTGTCATCTCCAAGTGACGTGCATGCGTTACGTAGAAATTCGTCCTTCCAAAACAATAGCCGTTCAAACGACTTCTCGTTGGATACGTCAAAAACTAAGCCACAACAATCTGCACCCCGATAAAAGGCTACAGAAAGAGAGACAAAGCGCTCATTTCCCGCAGTGTCCCACTATTATTTAATTCAGTTGGTTTAAGAAATGGAGAAATAGTAATGAACTAAAACAAACAATTTGCATGGAGACCTCTTTGTTTCCCACAATCATACTTTTTGTCACAAAATCCGCACCAATTGTCGCTTTGTAATTGTTGGTAAATTTTTCACAACAAAATGTGGTGATTAAGGCAGTCTTCCCTACACCACTAGTGCCTATTAATATCGTTTTTAAAAGGCGTGTTTTACTCATATAATGGTGTGTTTTTTCAAGTTCATTAATAAGTTCAAGTCTTAAAGAAACAAATGATTAAATAAAAACTATTGTCACTTAAGAATTTATTATAAAAACAAATATTATTAACATTACATAATAAAATAATATTGAATCAAATTTGGTTCAAAAGATCAATAAAAGTCTTCTAAATTCTATATTTATAATTTTTTTAATAAATAAAGAGAAAGGACGGACATGGGGACGAAGGACGGGAATATCGGCCGAAGGACGTCCTTTGTGGTTTAGGGACGTCCTCCCGCTATAAAGGACGTCCTCCCTGTGTATATGGTGTCCTTTCTATTATTTTCGTGTCCGCGGCATTTTTAAAACTATATAATGAGTTATAATATTACTATGAATTTACTATTATAAAATATAATTATTTCCAAAAATAAATTTAATCAAAGACAAATTTTAAACAACAAGTAATTTTGTTATAAATTAATGGTTTTTATAAACAATGCAAATTTAATTAGTTTTTCAAAGAAAATTCAATGGTAAAATGAAAAAAAAATGATAAATTTTTATAAACCATTAATAT